CTTTGTTATGGGGGGAGGCCACAACATTAGTAACAAAGAAACAGAATTTCCGGAGGATGAGGCCCAGAAATCAGGATTTTAAAAAGATTCCAGGTGATTCTAATGTGCAGCCAAGGTTGAGAACCACTGGCCTCAGCCTTACCCTGCGTGTGCGTCCTGCCCCCAGCAATGAAGGGACCAGGCCTTGTGAGTTACCCCCAGACCTGAGGTGAAATGGGGTAATAGAATGACCACCACAACTGGCACCATGTATTGGGCTCTGTGTGAGCCTGGACCATGCTGAGCATTTTGCACGGGTTATTTCTTATCGTTGCGGCACCCTGTGAGGCAGTGCTATTATCTCTGTGTTTACAGAAGTTACCACACTGGCCAAGGGGGAGGAGCCGACACTCAAACCCAAGACCGGCTGACGCCAAAGCCCGTGACATGAGCAGAGTGCACGGGCAGGGTGGCCAGCCTCCTGGGTCTGCATCGCGGGAACCCATCTGGGAGAATAGAACCTGATAACCACAGTCCCTCCCCTTAGAAATAATCCTCACTTCCCTGCCTACCTCTCTCCAGCACCTTCCGGCAGCCGCAGCCCTTTCCTACGCGAGGTGGCGGGTGACTCTCACTTGTAGAAGCTCACCTGCTGGCTGCAGACCCTTCTCCTCCAGCCCCCTGACCTGGGTTCCAAGCCGGGTGACCTCCTCAGTGACCTTTGAGATTACGTGTCTCTCTCCTTCCTGATGCACTGCTCCAGCTCACACAGCCTGGCACCTGGAGACACTGCTGCAGCCTCTTAAAGCGGCTTCCACCTGCTGCTCCTGCTGCGTTCTGAGTCTGAGGCCTAGAGACAGAGGTGGCCGGACAAGCTCACAGAGCCGGCTGCACGCCAGTCCTCCCGAGGCTCCCACTGATGAAAAGGAACAGAGAGTCATGTTCCCAGACTCATCCTCCCAATACGCTCTGCGCACAAGCAGGCAGGGCTCAGGATAGACTTACCAGCAGCGAGGGCTGTGGTCTTGTTTTACCTGGAGATTCTAAAAACAATGCCACCTTGTGCTCTCAGAGCCATGTTGAACTTTTAAAAAATCTGCCACATTTCTTTTTTTCTTAAAATATATATTTTATTGATTTTTTACAGAGAGGGATAGAGAGTTAGAAACATCGATGAGAGAGAAACATCGATCAGCTGCCTCTTGCACACCTCCTACTGGGGATGTGCCCACAACCAAGGTACATGCCCTTGGCCGGAATCGAACCTGGGACCTTTCAGTCCACAGGCTGATGCTCTATCCACTGAGCCAAACCAGCTAGGGCCATAGAGTCATGTTTTAGGGAGCAATTGAAGAGAGGAAGCTGTAATTAGAATCACCACAACTCAGCGTAAGAGTGTGTGGCTGGCACTGGTCTTAGCCATTGAGGTCACCATGCACATGGGATACTTTGATGGCAGTTGAGGGGTTCCGGAGAGACCTTTCTGTCCGCACACTGCAGATTTCCTCCTGGGTAACTTTGTAGCACAAGGAAAGATGTGGGAAGGAGCCAGATAGAGCCACACTATTGCCCACTGTCCTCGGCCAGTCTTGTGGCCAGGACTAGACTGCAGACACTAATACACACCTCTGGCCCCAGACGTCTTGTTGAAAAGCAATGCTTTCAGGCAGACCGACAGACTGCAATGGGAAGACTCGGTCAGGAGGCCTGGGTTCCAGCGATTCCATCAGGAACTTGGGCTCTGCTGTGTGGCCTTGGGAGCACAACAGTCTGGTCCTGGACTTCAATTATTTGCTTGGAAAAATATGAGAGGTGATATGGGTCTCGGGGTAGGTGTCCAAGCCACGTCCAGCCCTGAGGCTCTGGGATTCCACACTCTGGACCCCAAATGCCCCATGCAGAGGCGGGAGGCGGGTGGGAAAGTGCCCCAGGTCTCCAGCCTGTAACCTACACCAGCTTCCAAGGGTCTGCTGAGAACTCCTGAGGAGAGGGTAGCCATGAGGTGCCTTCACCAGGGGCACGTGGTCCTCCCACCATCAGGTTCTAATCGCATCGCTTTCAACACTCAGAGCTTCCAGCCAACTCCCGAGATAATCCGTGGGAAGATAAATGGACAGAAAGAGGTAAATTCATAATTTAGCTCAGATATTAAGTGTCTACCATGTTCCTAACACACCATTGAATGCATTGAAGTTTGAAGTGAAAAAGGCCCAGTCCTAGCCTCTAAATAGATCATCCCAGAAGGGTGTGGGTCACATATGGTTAAAATATACACAAGCAAAGGCACACAGTAGGGGACACAGAGGGGGGACACAGTGAGAGGATAGAGTGAGAGGACACAGTGACAGGGGACAGTGAGAGGACACAGTGAGAGACAGTGAGGAGAGGGGACACAGTGAGAGGGGACACAGTGACAGAACACAGGGAAAGGACACAGTGAGAGGACACAGTGAGAGGGGACACCTTGAGAGGACACAGTGAGAGGGGACACAGTTGTTGGGGTCCAGCCCGAGCAGGTCCAGGGGTTCCCAAAGGTGTGGACGGATTTGGCAAAGAAGGAATGACACTGAGGCAGTGTTCAGATCATCAGCATAGCCAGGTTCTCTCTCATTGATCTTTTCTATTGTTTTTTTGGTCTCTATTTTATTTATTTCTACCCTGATTATTATTTCCTTCCTCCTACTAACTTTGGGTTTTGTTTATTCTTCTTTTTCTACTTCCTTTTGGTGTAAAGTAGATTGTTTATTTGGGATTTTTCTTGTTTCTTGAGACCTGTATTGCTAAGAACTTCCTCTTTAGAACTGCTTTTGCTGCATCCCATAGATTTTGGAGAGTTGTGTTTTCATTTTAATTTGTCTCAAGATAGTTTTTGGTTTCCTCTTTGCCCGATTGGTTGTTTAGTAGTATGTTGCTTAGTCTCCACATGTTTGTGTTTTTTCCAGTTTTCTTCTTATAATTGATTTCTAGTTTCATACAGTGTGGTTGAAAAAGATACTTGATATGATTTAAGTCTTCCTGAATTTATTGAGACTTGTTTTGTGGCCTAACATGTGGTCCACCCTAGAGAATGTGCCATGTGTACTTGACAAGAATATGTATTCTACAGCTTTTGAAAATATTCTGTAAATATCTATTAATTTCATGTGGTCTAATGTATTAAGGCCAATATTTCCTCATTAATTTTTTGGTCTGGATGATCTATTCATTGGTATAAGTGGGGTATTAAATTGACCTAATATGTCAACTTCTCCCTTTATATCTGTTAACATTTGCTTAATATATTTTCGTGCTCATTTTTATGAATGTTATATTCCCTTCTTGGATTGACCCTTTTATTATTATGTAATGACTTTCTGTGTCTCTTTTTACAGTCTTTGTTTTATTTCTTTTTTAAGTCTTTGTTTTAAAGTCTATTTTTCCTGCCTGGCCATGGTGTGGCTCACTGATTGAGCATTGACCCATGAACCAAGAAGTCACTGGTTCTGTTCCTGGTCAGGGTACATGTGAAGATTGGGAGCTTGATCCCCTGTAGAGGGTGTGCAGGAGGTAGCTGATCGATGTTTCTCTCTCACTGATGTTTCTATCTCTCTCTCCTTCTCCCTTCCTCTCTCTCAAAAAAATCAAATCAATAAAAACATAATTTTAAAGTCAGTTTTGCCTGATATGAGTATTGCTACCCAGCTTTCTTTTATTGTTTTGTTTCTATTTGCATGAAATATCTTTTCCCATTCCTTCACTTTCAGTCTATGTGTGTCT